TTTTCGCAAGTTTACATAACACACGGAACTCCCCTCGAGCACGCCCCCTCGCCCGAATCTGAGACGACAAAGATTATTGCCGTCCCCACGGTAAAGGTATCTGAAAACTAACCTGCCGATGGCACGGCCGCAGGTACGGATGCCCGGTCCTTCTGTTCGTGGGTGTTGATGACGAGAACCGTAGCTGCATACTGGGCCAGGGTCTCCTACGCTCGGAATGCGCAGAGACGTTCGAGTGGTTCCTCACTCAATACGAGAGCGCCGCTGGTGGATGGGAACGGCGGCCGAAGGTGAACTTTTCGTCACCCTGGTGTGTAAGGGTAGTTCATTGGTGGTCTCTGCCATCTCCAGAGGTCAGGGGTAGAAACANTCGAGTGGTTCCTCACTCAATACGAGAGCGCCGCTGGTGGATGGGAACGGCGGCCGAAGGTGAACTTTTCGTCACCCTGGTGTGTAAGGGTAGTTCATTGGTGGTCTCTGCCATTTTCAGAGGTCAGGGGTAGAAACCCCCACGATGGGTGGAGGATCGGAGACGCCGAGAATGCCCCCCAGACAGGGGACGGGGCAGGGAGAGATGGTGTCGCAAATACCCATGACCCGCCTGTTCTAGACAGCATCCTACGTATATATTTCCGCGTCGGTCGACGATGAGCTCGCCCAATCCCTTTTGCTCTCTGGGGTTTTACCGCAACTCCGCATTTCCAAACGCTTTTAAAGCCCAATCTGAGTGTCTCATCGAATTTTCGTTATTCATTGATGGATTTTGCCTTATCTATGGTGTTGAAGGTCATCCTCACGGACGCCGATGTCGCCATGACCTCGGCCGTAGCTTCTGTCTGGAAGGGTACGCAACACCTCTTCTGCCTGTGGCACGTCAACAAGAACCTTGTCAAGAAGTGTGCCGGCGCCCTGTCCGACCACGACCGAACGCGGATGCTTCGTTCCTTCCGCAGCGCAGCTTATGCAGTTAATGCCGAGGTGAGGTTCGAGGCCTCGTCGCCTGCGCCAGGGACGCTTTTCCGCTCAAAACTCTCCGACTGCTTAGGCAGCTATTTGATCCAAACATGGCCAAACATGGCCTTGCCTGTTGCAACCCGCCACCGTTGCGCGTATTTCCAGGCCTTCGCATCCAGCAGGGGTCAGATGGAGCAGATTTCTGCGGGAACGAAGTGCGAGGAATACGTCGACAACCTATTCAAGTGAGTGCGTGTCGACTAACCCAAGCATATTCTCCGCGTTCTTCCCACATTGAAGTCGCCCAGGTGTGGAAGCAGCTACCTCTATTTTCACTTTGCGACGTCAACATCATTGTCAATCGGACGCAAACACTTTCGGCTCGCAATACCCTGGACGATGACATTTAGGAACAAGTCGAAGTGGGCGTTCTACTGCCGGACGACGACTCTCGCCCTAGGCATGGCTGCTACCCAACGCGTGGAGGGCTTGTTCTCTGTGGCGAAACGTACGGGAGTTATCAAGCAGTTGTCTCTCTGCGCTCTTTGGGACGTCTTGAGACGTGTCGAGACGTCCCTAGCGATTGAGAACGCTAGGCGAGTTTCATGGAGTTACCACTCCCGGATTTCAGAGGAATTACCGCTTCTTCCGGAGGACGCGGCAAACTTCCTCGCTACCCTCCGGAGCGACCCCGGGATGTACGTCGCCAACATATTTGACGACCCCGGGAGGCTGGTTAACGTGTTCTGGGCCACCGCCGACCAGCAGGAGAGGGCGGCGAGATTTGGGGGGTGCATCCAGATGGACACCACCGTCTTCGCGAACAGGTGATCGATACTACGCATGTAGCTCCGACCGTGGCGGAACTTTTTTCGCAAGTTTACATAACACACGGAACTCCCCTCGAGCACGCCCCCTCGGCCGAATCTGAGACGACAAAGATGATTGCCGTCCCCACGGTAAAGGTATCTGAAAACTAACCTGCCGATGGCACGGCCGCAGGTACGGATGCCCAGTTCTTCTGTTCGTGGGTGTTGATGACGAGAACCGTAGCTGCATACTGGGCCAGGGTCTCCTACGCTCGGAATGCGCAGAGACGTTCGAGTGGTTCCTCACTCAATACGAGAGCGCCGCTGGTGGATGGGAACGGCGGCCGAAGGTGAACTTTTCGTCACCCTGGTGTGTAAGGGTAGTTCATTGGTGGTCTCTGCCATTTTCAGAGGTCAGGGGTAGAAACCTCCACGTTGGGTGGAGGATCGGAGACGCCGAGAATGCCCCCCAGACAGGGGACGGGGCAGGGAGAGATGGTGTCGCAAATACCCATGACCCGCCTGTTCTAGACAGCATCCTACGTATATATTTCCGCGTCGGTCGACGATGAGCTCGCCCAATCCCTTTTGCTCTCTGGGGTTTTACCGCAACTCCGCATTTCCAAACGCTTTCAAAGCCCAATCTGAGTGTCTCATCGAATTTTCGTTTTTCATTGATGGATTTTGCCTTATCTATGGTGTTCAAGGTCATCCTCACGGACGCCGATGTCGCCATGACCTCGGCCGTAGCTTCTGTCTGGAAGGGTACGCAACACCTCTTCTGCCTGTGGCACGTCAACAAGAACCTTGTCAAGAAGTGTGCCGGCGCCCTGTCCGACCACGACCGAACGCGGATGCTTCGTTCCTTCCGCAGCGCAGCTTATGCAGTTAATGCCGAGGTGAGGTTCGAGGCCTCGTCGCCTGCGCCAGGGACGCTTTTCCGCTCAAAACTCTCCGACTGCTTAGGCAGCTATTTGATCCAAACATGGCCAAACATGGCCTTGCCTGTTGCAACCCGCCACCGTTGCGCGTATTTCCAGGCCTTCGCATCCAGCAGGGGTCAGATGGAGCAGATTTCTGCGGGAACGAAGTGCGAGGAATACGTCGACAACCTATTCAAGTGAGTGCGTGTCGACTAACCCAAGCATATTCTCCGCGTTCTTCCCACTTTGAAGTCGCCCTGGTGTGGAAGCAGCTACCTCTATTTTCACTTTGCGACGTCAACATCATTGTCAATCGGACGCAAACACTTTCGGCTCGCAATACCCTGGACGATGACATTTAGGAACAAGTCGAAGTGGGCGTTCTACTGCCGGACGACGACTCTCGCCCTAGGCATGGCTGCTACCCAACGCGTGGAGGGCTTGTTCTCTGTGGCGAAACGTATGGGAGTTATCAAGCAGTTGTCCCTCTGCGCTCTTTGGGACGTCTTGAGACGTGTCGACACGTCCCTAGCGATTGAGTCCGCCAGGCGAGTTTCATGGAGTTACCACTCCCGGATTTCAGAGGAATTACCGCTTCTTCTTCCCATCGTGTGTTTTCCGCTTCCCATAACTTCACTTAAGGTGAGGGGGGTAATCTTTGTTGGGTTTGGGTCATCTTTGCTGAGTTTGGGTTCCATGGATCAGCTTTGTCGCAGCTCGGTCGTTTAAATCGCTCATCTCACTCGCCCGTTTAATGTTGAAGGCAATCGATTGTGGGACTCGGCGATTGTGACATTCGGTACGAAGGAGCCAGTCTCCCCGTTAACCCCAACCCCGCCACATGTCCCCGCCACATATCCTACGCCCCGTGCCGGATGGTCTATGTCTACAGGCTCGCAACTCCGGCCATCGCTGCGCAGCTGCCCTTCCAGGAGAAGCACATGGAGAACTTTTTCACGCCGATCAACGAAGGACTTCAGCGTGTCGGTGCCAGCCAATTCTGCACGCGGGTGAGTCCTGTTAACGGCATCATACACGGCTGTGGTCAACGCAGACCCACGCAATGCTACCACATAATCGCTGCTTCGCTACCCTTTTGGTAAACCTCAATCGATTCTGTCTGGCCCTCCTGTCAATACCGTCAACCTCGTCCAACACTAACCAGGACGTCCGACGCGAGCTCGGGGGATCGCAGTCGTACGACGTGGAGCGCATCGTCGACCGCCAACCCGCCCAAGACCCCGTCAAGGTGGGGCAAATTTCCGACTTTCGAGAGCGCCTCAACCTCTTGCAACCGCCGCCACCCGCCACGGACCTCGACGAAGGATGCGAGAATGGCCGTGAGGGAGGATCCCTCGTCGACACCAGCATGTGGGCGCGCACCTCTCTGGAGGATTTCTTGTCCCTGACCCAAGATGTTCCTACCTCTGCGATCTTCGCCGTGCGGTACAAGCTTACCCCCAATCGGCCGAGCCACCTGATGGTTTTCGGCCCCGGGGACTTTCACTTGTGCTCATGCTTACGGCTCCTGCAGCACGGCCTACCGTGCAGACACTACTTCGCAGTTCTTCTTAGCTTCATCGGCGAGAAGGACTTGCCTGGGTCTGGCCACACCTTCAACGCCGCGTGTGTGCACAACCGCTGGAGACAGGCGCCCGACGTGGACGACGAGCCTTGGAGCGTCTCACTCGTGTTGGGATCAGCAGGGCACGGCGGCGGCTGGGACGGGCTTCACGACAACGACGATGACGTCGCCCCTACCTATGACAACAATGGCGACATGGATGGCGCGCTTCCCCAGGATGCGAGAAAGGTGGCCGATCAGCGCCGAGCGTTTGCCACCATGATGGTAAAGAGTAAGGAAAATGTCAGCGAGATATTGAGGTCGGTCACCACCGCCGAGGCGNCCGATCAGCGCCGAGCGTTTGCCACCATGATGGCAAAGAGTAAGGAAAATGTCAGCGAGATATTGAGGTCGGTCAACACCGCCGAGGCCCTAGAGATCCAGAGAGCGGTCGACGAGTGTGTTAAGTTCCAACTGACTAAGAGGCTAGGCATGCTCGACGGTACTGCAATAGGTCCCGGCAATCCAGAGATGGCCCCTAAGAAGGGGAGGCCGAAGGGTTCAACAAAGCAGGCTACCGGTACCATCGGCCAAAGTAAAGCTAGAAGCAGAAACCCTGAGGGACAGATGGGCACAACTCTTAAAAATACAAGGTTCAGGGAATCGTACGGGCCCNCAGAAACCCTGAGGGACAGATGGGCACAACTCTTAAAAAGACAAGGTTCAGGGATTCGTACGGGCCTGGGTCTGGACGTGGGAGGAGAGCGAGGGGGGATGGACAATCGGCGAGTGGAAACGCCTCGTAGACCTGAGTATGCTCGCGGCCGGTGTGCGGATGGCGACGATGGACTTCGGCTTACCTCGCCCAGTGTCGCGACGTTGGCACACTAAGTTCGTTTCGCAATACGAGTATCGTCTTGTGGGCGGTCATGTGGTCCCCCTTCGGGTTGTGCCATCGTCTGCGTCTTGTGTTCCATTCATATCCAAATGTCTTGTGGGAGGTTTCACGTCGCCGTGTGCGGGGCCAAGTGTTGGGCATAGGCAGAGTTTGAGTCTAAGTTTAGGGCGGGGTTAGACGGAAAAGGTATAAACGCCTGGGGGAGATAGAACGTGAGACCTCACCAACACTACCACAACTGCAGTTAAACTAACGCTAACCGGAAACTACATTACGTTCGGCACTGGCAGTTGTTTCTCAAGTGCTGCCGTGAACTGTGCTGTCGCCAGGGGAGTCGACAGGCGATACAGCGACGAAACTATATACGGGAACTAAAAATTCAGCGACGAAACTAAAAAGATACGACCCCTGCCTAACCCAACCCAACATCTCGCAGACGTCGAAGCATTGTGCGCAGCGAGCTCTGACATTAAAAGTCCTACGCTGGGACAACCCCTCTTCGGTTCGCCGTGCCCCCTTGCGAGGGTGTATCTCGGCAACCACGTGCCGGTCGAGGCGATGTGATGGCTTGAATGAAAGCTGGGAGCCGTGGCATGACTGCGGTAGTTGTTGCGGCTGCCGGCGAGACGCTTGGGAGACGATGTGGGGTGTTGTCCCAAATTTGGAATTTGGGACAACCCCTGTTGGGGTCGCCGTGCCCCCTTGCGAGGGTGTATCTCGGCAACCACGTGTCGGCCGAGGCTATGTAAGGGCTTGAATGAAAGCTGGGAGCCGGTCAACTTCATCTCAGGCCCTTTCCCATCTTGGCGGGGCGTGAGCATCGATGTAACGACGCGGATATGTACAGGACACCTCCCAATAATCCTGCGGTGCCCCATTGGGAGGGCATATCTCCGCATGTACAGGTCGGGTAAGGCCACCCGATGGCTTGGATGATAGCTGTGGATCATACAAGCACAACAAAGGTCTTTAGGGGTGTTTCGAAGGTGGTTGGGCCGAGTTATGGAGGAAAACGTGGATTTACCGAAGCCGCGGAGCCTGTTTTTTAGGCTCTATCTCCTCGGCCTCAGCTCCGTTGTGGACTCAAAATACATTCCGTGAAAGCTGTGTCCAGTAGGATTACAGCAAACTTGGTTTGAGGTCGATCAAAGCTTTCTACGCCGAGTTAGACGTGTTGTCCCAAATAAAAATTTGGGANCGCGGAGCCTGTTTTTTAGGCTCTATCTCCTCGGCCTCAGCTCCGTTGTGGACTCAAAATACATTCCGTGAAAGCTGTGTCCAGTAGGATTACAGCAAACTTGGTTTGAGGTCGATCAAAGCTTTCTACGCCGAGTTAGACGTGTTGTCCCAAATAAAAATTTGGGACAACGTTGTCCCAAATAGCCGTGCCGAAAAAAAAAACAGTGCAGTGGCATCGCCTGCGACTGACTCGTTGTCGGATCTCTTCGGATCGAAAGGAAAGTAGTAGTGTATGGGGCAACTCTGTCTCGGCTACCCTTTTCATTTTCTTCTCTGGTCGCCGGATATCCGGGGTCCCAAGAGGCACATACGACCCTGGAACTTCTGACCCCGTGTATCCGGCGACAAGAGAAGGACTTAATATAAAGGCCAGATGGGACAGAGTTTCGCATTTACCCAAGGTACAAAGTTTCAGGGTCTATCTCCAATAACCGGCGTGAGGTTTTCATGTTGAGTATCTTTGTATCCTTTTTCGTGAACAAACTTGAAGGAACTATACAGGGTATGTCCCATCATTCGCGAGAAAAACATTTTTTTCAAGACTAACAACCCCAGACAGACAAATGGCAGGATACGGTGATTGAAAGCCCCCAACACCACCAGACGCAGTGCACCATTCTCCATTTGAAAGCCGAGTCGCAACCCAAATATGACTCCGTCCGAAATGCACGGGGGCACTATGGAAAATGAGTAGTTCGTGTATGCGTCTAGACAGAACATATATATATATCGAAATAGGATATCTATGATGAATCTGCTATGTACCGCCTTTGAGGCTTGTTGGAACATCTTGGTTCGGTTTTGTGGGGTCCCAGACAGACGCGTGCTCCCCGGATTGAGTGCAAGTTCGAGAAACAATGTCCGGAAGGAAAGCAACCGTTAAGGTCACTCGGAATATGGAACAGCAGGGCAGCTTGCATAGCTAGCCATCTTGTCAGACGCTTTATAACGGCGCACCTCGGGCGGGACTCTGACATTATTGAAACGCTTTTTCTATCCGCTATCTCGCCGTGAACCAGCACCTCAAGATTAAGCAACGTGATCATCCCTTTCCTGGCTGTCACGGGACAAGGCCGACCCCTGAGTTCATGCGCCAAAGTGCCTCAACACATGTATGAATGGCATTTTCATGGTTGTAGTAAGCATTCGGTAGCTGGAGGGTTCGCGAAGAGTGTCAAGAATGAGATTGTGACCGAACCTGAGCGAACACCATCCATCATCATATATCTCGAGTGCTTACGAATTTCTCACTGACTGGTCCACTGCTTTTTTGCGAATGAGCTTAAGGCTCTGCCTGGTCCTGATTGTAGGAAACGAATGTATTTGTCCTTCAACCTTGTTTGGGGAGCTATGGTAAGATTGCAGGGAATTCAGTGAAAAAGCGTTCACCGAAAAAAAAAGCCGAAAGCACCACCGACCGCCTTTGTTTGGCAATACGTCTCGCACGATTCCTGGTTTTCACACGTCTCGTATAGTTGCGGGCAGAGTGATGTACTCTTCGAGTATCACTGACAGGATGGAGATATTCCTGAACCCTCCGAAAATCGACAGTGTGTCTGCCGCCTCCGGGTTTCGTTGCTGTCGACCAGACCAACCTGCGTGACATATGTGGGGAGAGCATAACCGCGTCAAATGGAATGAACCCCAGTCGGATTACACCAAACACTTGCATTCAATATGTAGTCTATTCAAGATGTGCGTATTATTCGCTTATTCTGTTCCCGGCAGTATCTTTCTCCACCCGCTCATATGCCAAGAACGTCTGTCGAGTGTATCACCGCCCACGTACATCTTGGTGGCAAGCTTGCAGCGGTAGCGCGTCGGGCTGGCCCGCTTTGGAAAGCTTACTGCAGGTGCTCTCTGAGAAGCAAGACAACCTGCTGTATGCGAGAGGTGGAACACAGCTGAATGCTGCTACGCAACTCGGTGACCCTCCGAACGAAGAGATTACAATATGTAGATGTTGATGATGTCGGTATTACAGGCTGACCCCAGGGCCTGATTTTGATGGTAGGAGACGAGAGTGAGAGAGAGAGGTGCCAGCTCTCGATCGCTAGAAACAATAAAAACAATATCTACTACTGCTGTTGTTGGGGACCCCGAATAGTCAACCGGCTATCTTGGGGTTTCCCCGAAAACTATTCTGACCGTTTTCTGACAGTCCCGTACGCGTACGGGGACGTGTCACGCAGCTTGCGGAATCTGCGCTACTGCAAATCTGCTAGCTGCTACTTGCTGCTGATGCCGGTACATTCTACAGCGCTACAGACCTAGCGTGCACACACAGTCTGACGGACATGGCTTGGGTACGACTACTTTTGTCTTGTGTTGCCTGCAGCGAACACAGAAAGGACAGAACTTGGCTACTGCTGTCTACATGGACACGACAATGTCCCTGACAGCAGTACAACCCTCTTGCACCAAGTTTTTGTTGGCATGTGGAAGTTGACAAGCAACATGGGCAATCCCCAAATCGTGATGACCTGGCGGGCTGTTGTTGTGGATTCGTCGGAGAGACCCGCTCGCTCCTTCGGAGACGCCATGAGGAAACCTATGAACCTACCCCGGAAGTCCTACGCTGAGAGACCACTGATGCCAGCCGCAACCAACCAACAGCAAGCAGAGGTAGAATAGACCCCATAACATGCATTCATAGGTAATATGTAACCCAGCAGCAGTTTAGTCTTCTGTTTTGTAAGAGGCAAATAAGTAGCGCAACGCGACGCTGGTAATCAATGGTATGGTTGTGGCGGTTGGTCCGATGATCGAAGAGAGCCTATGCATGCATAGACTACAGTACGTAGATTTCAACCATGTCCTTGCGACGGGGTGCACATTGCAGTACACGGCAGCAGTGTACGCTCATCATGAGAGGAACCCTGATTCGAGCACATATTCTGAATATATACTCTGCACAGAGGCACTGCTTGCTGTGTGAACAGCCACAATAGATCACACAAAGTGATCGGGCCCGTCGTCGGTCGTCCGTAAATTAAAGGGAGATGCGGGAATTTCAACTCGTCTATTAGATCAACGTACCAATGTGTTGTGTATACTCGTGGTTGTGATCCCCCAGCCGGTTCGCCCAGTCAAAGCAGACTCAGACCACAATATGGTAGTAGCCACCGTCAACCTCGGTGGCAGGCTTGCCCACAACCGTGCAGTCCGGACTAAACCGAAACAGAAGCAATTCAACCGACGGGAATTGCAGTTCGAAGCAGCACGGTGTGGGGTGACTAATCGGTTCCTCCTCAACCTCAACCTCGACAAACGACTGGACGAGCGAACAACCACCGCCGCGAATTTGACGACCGATTTTACCAATACTCTCCTCGAAGCAGCGCGGACGACCCTATGGGAGGAGCGGCGGAGACGCCGCACGCAGGGGTGGTTTGTGAGGCCCCAGAGACGCGAGCAGCGCTGGAGGAGGCCCTTACCAAACGGCGGGAAGCGCGCCGGGCGATGAGAGGCAACTAGAACTCAGCAACGTGGAGGGTTCTCAAAGCAGCATGTAAGGGAGTGGCTACAGCAGTCGAACGGGCATTGATGCCCACCTGGACGGATATGTGACTGGACGCAAAGAAAGCAATCTACAAAGATCGCGGCAAGCAAGGACTGTACCAACACCTCAAGAGATCAGTGGGCCTCAGCGGGAGACAAGGGGGGGGACAACAGTTCGTCGCGGATGAGAACAGCGTGTTGCTCCGGAACAGGGACGACATCCTCCAGCGGTGGGCGAGATTCTTCAGCACCC